CGAAAGCACTTTTCATGGCCAACTCCTATGAACGGCGGAGATAGGCGTGACTCTGTCCGTTAATATATACAGTCTGCATAAAACTAGCTCCAGATTATGAACTTTGTCTTAAATGGCATTGAAAACAATCACACGACAAACCACCCGCTGAAACGGATACAAACAAACATGAAACCATTTATTTACAATGTGCAAAGTCGTTCTCATCAAATTAATTATTTAGAAAAATCAAGCAAAAGTCTTTCTAATCTTCATTTTCAAGTTCCAATATCACCTAATTAGAGTTGGTTCCACACTATACCTTGCACTGGTTGAAAAACACTGAACTACACAACTATGGGTCTGCCTAGGGTTAGGGTTAAAATTATTTAATAATATTAAGTTATTCAAGCCACATGTTTAATATCTTGTTTAAAGCTACTCTTTTTTGTTCTAAAGTTGAAGTTTTGTGAGGACAGCTTGCATTAGAAGGAATTTAATAGTTTTATTTGAGTTTGAGGGTTTAGTTAACTCACCTGAATGCACATCTTTAGAATAATATATTGTCTTCTTTGTGATGCTGCCCTGGATTAGTGTGGGTCTGTTATTTGGGTTTAGTGAAGAAAATGACATGGGGGGTCTGGGGTCGTGTTACAGACAGAAGACGTTTTATTGATGTTTCAAAGACAACACGACCAAATAATTGCTGTGTGCATGTGATTTTATACCACGGAGGACGCATAGACAGTCCAATCAGCAGCTGCCACGGTGTCAGTAGCTTCGGCCTTCACAAATGTGAAAAATCACCAGCAATCAACCAACAGAGTGTTATTAGAATGATTAAACTTTAACCACAGTGGCTTCAAAGTGTCATAAGAGATCCAAACATGTTAAGAAATGGTGAAAAATACATTTAAAATTCCTTCTACCCCTCATAAACTAACAAATAACACAAAAGATCATGTGCAGATATATTTAGCTGAGATGTAGCACCTCAGAAGAACTCAAATCAAATACATTCTGGCTCTTACTCATTACAGCTGGAGCTATGACTAATTATCATTCTGGAGGCTAACCAAATTCTATCACAAACCACAGCTTCAGTTTGAGCATCTAAATAATAAGATTGTGTTTGTTACTTATAGAGGAGTCCTTATTTATTCACTTTATTTGGTTCGGGGAAAAAAAAGGCCTTGATATGTGATGTATAAAAAATGTGCCTCTTCTTTGTAATGTTAAAATGCTTTGTAGAGCTTCCAGCACCACAGTGTCATGACAAATTCTAAGAGCTACAAAAATAAACACCGACCTGACGCTTCACAACACTCCGGCGTCACATCAAAGACGGCTATTTCTGCTCCCAGCTCTTCACCGTCTTGAGAAATAATACTGTAAATGTTATTAAGTCTGTGAGGGTTTTATCACAGGCTAAACTAATTAGCCACTGTTTGCTAGTTTTTGCTAAGTTTCATCCTAGTTTAAAGTTGCTCTATCCAATATTTCAGAATCTTACACCAAAGAAACTGTTTCCCCCTTTAAGGTCATTTTTTTATTTTTTATTTTGATTTTTGAACCTGCTGTTGGCGAATCAACTGCTATTGTTATTTTGGGCTGTACATAATCACATAAGCAGTTTTTTCATAACTGTGTTTAATCTTTGTGTTTATTTTAATTAGTATAGCTATTGTTCACTTATCTTGATCTCTGAGCTCCTCTTTCCTACTGTTCTATAACTTGTGATGCAACACTGGAATTTCCCCCTGTGGGACGAATAAAGGATCCCTTAATCTCTTAATCTTAATCTTAAATATTATGTACAAAGCGGGGTCAGGTACCGTATATGCTGCTCTATCAAGAGAAAACTAAAACTGACTAATTTGGAATGTATTTTTTATAGATTTATGGATTTTGTATCAATTAGTTTTGTTGTGTTTTTATGTTGTCTCTTTTATGATGTCTCTGTTACGCACATTATATATGAAATGTGTATAAAGACATTTCCTTTAACTTTCCTCAACAAAACAAGTGACCATTAGAATTACTCTACAAGAATACAAGAATATATTATTTGGCTCTGGTACTGACGATGAGGTTGCTGCGTCCACAAAAACCCGAAGCGTCCTTATTTTTCTGTGGACTGGTGTTGCCAGGTTGTAGCCGGGTTGCCATGGGTGTGAGTGAATGATCAGAAACTCTTGTGTGGGTCAGTGAAGTGAAGGTGTCAACAGCACACACTCCAAAACAGCAGCACATGAGCAATTTCTAAATATTATCCATCATTAGTCGACTCAAAGTCATTTGGGCTGAATCATTCGTGATGATATGTCTGGCATTAAAGAGCTCAGAAATGTGATGTGGTTTTTGCGGTTCTTACAACGGGTCATAGGAGCCTATAGAAAAGTAGATTACAAAAAAAAAATCAACTTGATGGTTTGATTTGATTAAGGGTGTACTTCATTAATCCCGTGGGCAATTCAATCCTCTGCATTTGACCCATCCTGATGCCGCGAAGGCTTACGTCAGGAGCAGTGGTCGCCGTAGTAACAGCGCCCGGAACCCATATCCAGATGTTGATGCTCGGCTTGGTCAGGGCTACCGGAGCTGGAGGATATTAATCTAGTGTGCATGTTTTTAGTGTTGGGGGAAACTGGAGTACCCGGAGGAAACCTTCGCCCATTATGAAGCCAAACCAGCTGAGAAAACTACTGATTGAACCAAACAGTTTTGAGAGTGAGTGTCTTGTTAAATGGATAGATTTACATAGATTTTTTGTGGTTTGAAAGTTAAATACCCCAGCTTTAATTGATTAGTTAAATGAGTTTCAATAATCAGACATGGCCATAGCAGTCTTTGTGGAAGCAGAAAGTAAAAGTAAGGTATTGAAGTCATTCTCTAAAAGTAAAAGTACACTATTTTATATATGCTTAAGTAAAAGTGAAATCATTGTTTTGTCAATAAAATATAATATACTAGTTATTTGTACATAGTATTTTGGGTGCACCTCTTTTGTGTTATTGAATATGTTTGTGCTCTAGAGTATTTTAATACACAGAACACTGCTTTGTTCCTTCTAACACCTCTGTGGAGTAAAACTAAATTGCTACACGTAGAAAGTACAACATTTCAAAGTAAGACTAAAAGCACACCTTAAAGTTTGTGTGCGTCGCTGTCTGAATCAAACATCCCTGTATGTGTAAGTGCATTTTGTATTTTCATAATATAAGTTCCAGAGAGGAAAGCGGGCTCTACTGTCCCTCAGCCGGGCTCAAGGGGGGAACTGTCTCCTGATTAGAGTGGATTTTTTAGACTCTCCGCACTAGCAGCTCCACAAATTGGGAAAAAACACACACACACACACACACACACACACACACACACACACACAATCAAGCACAATGAGCCACCTAACCACTCTCCAACACACACACAGATCCTCACCCGGGGGAAATAAACTACCGCCACACTCTTGTAGTATTAATGGGCAAATCCTATATACGCTCCTGATCCTAAACCAAACAAAGTGCTGAAGAGAACCCTCGCGCAGTATGGAGTCTGCAAAATGAACTGCAAACCCACACGTCTCCACGGAGCCTCCCCACAGAGTGTTCATTAGTGGAAGTACCTCAATACCATTAAAAATAAGCAGCAGTCACACCTTGCAGGCATTACACCAAGTGCATATAGACCAATTAGAGCCGCTCTAGTCTTCGTAAAGTCAATATTGAACCGACTCCAAGAATGTCACTAAGTTGATAACTATATTCTGCGACATAATGAACTAGACATCCATAATTAAAAGCCACGACTTCATCTAACTCCATGTTTTATTTATGCGGAAATCTCACTATCGGCCATAACATTGTTAGCTATGTCACAAAGTGATTAATTATTAATGGCAGTAAATGAAGAAGATTCTAATACATGATTATAAAAGGTTAACATTTGATATGGTTTCTCGATAGTGCAGGGGTCTCCAACCTCCAGTACGCAATACTTTTCTAAAATGAAATGGCAAAAAAATCACTAACTACAAGGTGATAATAACATTTTATAATGAGATGAATCCAATTTGAGTTATTTTCGGAAAGAGGTGGAGACTGAGTGCAAAAGTTGTGTGCCCCCTACATCTGATGTGAAATCTGAAACAAGGGATATCTCCAAAAGGCATAGCATTTCAGATCAAACGCTCAATAACGTCTGAAGAAATATCAGGCATTATATAAAGTATTTGTTCACAGCAGGTTTGTTGGATGCCATTTGGAACAATTGTATTTGAAAAGAATCACAGCTACTGTATTATACACCGGTAGGCAGACAAAAGTCCCTCTAGATTTTGGGATTTTTGCCCATTATGACATTGTGACAAAAGCCTTCTTCTGAGAGATTCCTGGGCTGTCTTGGATGCACAGCTCTTTCTTGGTCAATTCACAGATGTTCAGTCCGGTTTGGATATTGCAAAGCTTCAACTTGTACAGTACCTCTGGATGTTTGGGACCTTTGAAATGTTCCCTGTGCCGCCGGCTGCAACACGTAATGGATCCAACCCCAAGCTCAGCAGCTGGACAGATGTTGTGTTTCCTAGGGGGCTTGCCTCTCCTAGGAAAATGTATTTATTCAAACTAAAATGTTCATGTTCAGTGCAGTTCCTTGTGCTCAGGGTGCAACAGTTTCAAATGGTTTTACATGAATTAAGAAATTAACCAATCCATTGTAATCACAGATTTTTTTTGTTTGTATTATTTAAATTCAGCCCTATTACATTTATGGCTCTATGGTCTGAAATGTCCCCCCTGCAGGACAAGTCAAGGTTTACTTACTTCCTCTTATTTATTATTATTTATTGTCATTTTTTCTGTGGAATCATGCAGGTGATTGTTGTGAAATGCAAGACTCACTTTTTGTACTATGCATAAAGTTTTCAATACCCAGTTTTAAAAAAAACATATTCCAAAATTGAGTTTTAAATGTAAAATCATATCCGATATTGTCTCTGATTGTATCTCTTGTGTTTGTCTGTGCAGGAACACTTCACGTCGGAGTGCAAGTTCAAAGAGTCGGTGTTCGAGAACTACTATGTGACGTACTCTTCCATGATCTACCGGCAGCAGCAGTCGGGCCGGGGCTGGTACCTGGGCCTCAACAAGGAGGGCGAGATCATGAAGGGAAACCATGTCAAGAAGAACAAGCCAGCAGCACACTTTCTTCCCAAACCACTAAAAGGTGAGGTTCCCCCTTGGTACGGTGAAGCTGAAGTGCATGAATGTGGTGGTGATGCCAGATATGATGGAGGCGGGCTGCAGCAGCTCAGAGAGTGTGTGTCATCTGAACCAGAGAGTGAAACCAGCTCTCATTGGTCAATGCTGTCATTGTCTCTTTGGACAAGACACACCCCCAGTATCTGCGTACAGTACACTGTATGAATGTGAGTCTGAATGGGAATCTCTGTGAATGTATATCTAGCCAGGTTGAGCTTGAGCTAACTACGCCTTTGTGACTCATTGCTTTGTAGTATCCCCCTCTGCAGAGGGACGCGTGTCCCCCATCCTCACACCTGCAGTAGTGATAGTGACCAGAGCAGTTGTGCTCAGTTTACTGAAGTAATCAGATTACTCTCTCTGATCAGTAAAAATCTGTGGATGCAAATTGGCCGTTGCTGCAAACACAGCAGAGCTAAAGCCCTAGCGAGCCCTGAATTTATAATGAAATACACAATAGCCTCATGTGACATCTTCTACTTCAACAAGTTCCACAAAGAACAGTCTGCGAAGGCTGAGTGGGGTACAGACGCGGAGTTCACTTTTTGTGTTATATTACTAATTCAAATTTGTCTAACCTTAATCATCGCTGTATTTCCCTGTATTTATTTCAAGCTTACACACTACATGCAGCTTTTATTGAAATCTTAGTCCATGTACACATTCCTAACTCTCAGGTTTTGTTTCCTCCAGTCGCAATGTACAGAGAGCCATCCCTCCACGAGCTGACAGAGTTCTCACGCTCGGGCAGCGGGACGCCCACCAAGAGCCGGAGTGCGTCTGCGGTGCTGAATGGAGGCAAGACCGTGAGCCAGCACGAGTCCACGTAGCGAGGGACCTCCTCTGGGATTGAAACCTCCAACCTTACCTCCAGCAGAGCGTGATCCACAAGATTCTCATCCTTTCAGGACTATACAAAATCACCATTATTATAGTTAATTAAGAACACTCAACTTTTCAGTTAAAATAGAAATAAAAACATATAAAGGCACATTGATCACATTCTGGATGATAAGGTCACTGCATTGTTTTTGCTTGAGATTGCTTTCTTGCATCATGGTATTTTTCTCATGTTAAAATGATTGATTTTCTTTCTGCGCTCATGCATTCTTTCAGCAGTGCGAGGAGAGGCGCGCTCTTGTCGGCCCATAGTGGTGCCGCGGCGGTGTGGTCCTTGCTTCTGTGAATACAAAGCCTCTATGATGTCCCTGGCGCGGCGCAGTGTCGCCCGTCCAGATGGTAGCTCCTCTGTGTCCTCATGCACACGCTCAGACTGGGCACATAGCATGGGAGAATATGCCTCCTCTGTTGATCTGAATTATATAGGACGGCGTGGCTCTTGTTTATTTTCTTTGTAAAGATGCCACAGCTGCACCTTGATTTTTGCTAATTTTCTAATTTTTATTTCTTGGTGTTTTCTATCCCTTGTGTTCTCTTCCCTTGCCATTGTTCAGTATTCGTTATGGTGTGTTTGAAAGAGATTCCAGCAAACCAAAGACAGAACGAAGAGTGTCCCTTTAAGCTGCTGAGAGTGGAGCCAGTCTAAAGGCAAAGCTGGAATCCTTTTGATGAGAGTGAGCCGTTTGGGCCGATCACAATAGGAGAAAGGAGTGCTTTGACACAGTTTGGACTTGGCAGCGTGCTGGATCTTGTTTTTATCTTAAATCTGATATGCTTGACTACTGAAGTATGGAATGACCTGTGTGTGTCCCCATTGCCTTCTGTTTGGACTGTGTTAGAATGTCTCTGTGTCTGTGCTCGTCATGTCATCCATTTGCCCTCCTTTTCCAGCATTTGTCCTCTTTATTGATTTGCCATAGGAAGTATGGCACAGCAAGTCCCTTCCCAGGATGCTTGTTCTATGTATTGAGTAATTTATTGTGGTGACAACATTTTCTATATTCAAAAGAATACTGTGGACTTTTAGGTGGCTTAACATTTTATAGGACATGTCATATTTGTAAAAGTGAAAAAGTAAAAATTAAAAACAAAAAAAAATTCCCGTTTCTTGCACAGGGCATGTACAAACACAACAGTGTACAAAACTGTCCCATTTTATGGGCCCTTTTCCTCCAGCTTCATACATTTCTGGTACATGCTTTCGGGAAGCCTGTATTACTGGGCTGCACCTCCAGAGATGGTTTGCTCAGTTTTGGGTAAGCCTATCTGTTGCATGGGAGAGAGCAGGGAAATATGGTCTAGAGCTGCATGATGTAGGCTGTGTGTATTAACCCATGTTGGATTATGTGTTCCAAACAAACCAGGCGACATCTGAGAAAACAACATGTCAAGCAGACGCTGAGGCTGCTTGGAGACTTCCAGTTGTTTATTATTTGTTGTATACACAAAATGCACTGAATAAAATGTTTATATTAAGATATACTTTTAAAATGTGCCCTGTGTCTCTTGTTCTCAACATAGTTTACTGTAATGCAATGATGACACATGCATCCATTAAACTGTAACTGTAGTAAACAGCTTCCAGCTACAGAGCTGTTGGACTGCAGACTGTCTTATTACACTTTGGGTTGATCATGACAAGAGAAGGAATGAGGCTCTGCAAAATGAACTGCTTCATTGTTCATGGAGTTTGACGTTCCTACTCCTCTCACAGATTCCTCCTGCGTCAGAAAGTCTCACACAGGACAGTCACAGCCTGCTCTGTGGTGTGATTCTCAGCTCTGACCAGACGTCAGTGCATCATGAGGCAGTGTAGGCAGCTGCATAAACACGTCAGAGGAGTGATGGCCTCTTGAGCACAGAGAAACACGTGTGGTTGTTGCACTGTGAGCCTCTAATAGAGCTGTACCTGTGAATCCCACTCGCTGGCCTTCACCAGCGACAGCACTGACCTGTCACACACTACAGTCACACTTACTGTAGTGGCCTCAACACACATCACAGAGCACAATTTATTCAATTCAATCAATGTATCAAGATAGTCGTTGGGCAAATGTGAAAACAAAATATTTGAATTGGTGGAGAGATGTAAGATGGGTAAATAGTGTGGAACCGTTACTCTAACTAAGTGATTCTTCAGAGCACCATTGAGATCCTCCTCAGCATGATTTCAAGATAATAATCATACTCTTCGTGTTAACATTCTGTCATTTTTTTGCCTAATGGAGTCCTGTTAGTCTTCGCTTCCTTATTTTTTTCAGGTATCTAGACTGCAATCACACATATCTGATCAAAATGGTTCAAACAGCCACAGCCAGTTTTTCACACAAAATATGTATGTGTTCCTCTCATTTCCTCTTTTTGCATTTTGAAAAAGAGTTAAATGTATATTCCTGTGAATGTTCAGTTGCTCCTTTCATTATAAGGAATAAAAAGGTAAATAAAAAGTTTAATTCAGCCATTGTGACAGGAACAAACGGCTCTCTGTCTGCGGTGACAGCGGCTGTAACACAAATGTAACACAAGTGTAAGAGAAGCTGCTGCCGTGCTGCTGCCGTGCTGCTCTCAGGTCCACAAACTGATGAAACTGAGTGAAATATGACATCTCATCTCATCTTTTCCTGCATCCTCACTCTTCCCGTCATAGGTTTTCAGACCAGGCAGGACAGAAAACGTCACACCTAGGCTTGTCAAGACTGAAGACCCTTGGGAACCCACAACAAAGAAGAGGACGCAGATGTCATCAATAACAAAGTCTGTGAAGTCTGATGCAAGAAATATTTTTTGAGAACAACTTTGCCAGATGTTAAGTACGAGGCTGGGAATCACAGGGTTTTTCACCAAACAATGTGACTCACAATACTGTACATGAATTATGATAATCAGTATATCAGGATAAGGCAATACCTGAATTTCTCCTATATTGGGATCAAGAAAGTATCTATCTATCCACTGAAAATATGAATGAATGCAAACATTATTGGTCTATTATCAATCAAAGTATTTACTACAAGATTGAGTTTGGTCCAATTCTCCGATATCAAACAAATATCTAAAGTTATGTGTGTCTTCAAAACCCCTACATCATTTAGGGTCTGTTTGGAGGTTATTGCATAATGTCGTGATGAATGATTGGGGGAAAAATCTGAGTTTAAAGAATAAAAGAAGATGAAAACATGAACACCAAGATATCCACTATTTATTTGTCTGTTTGTTCATAGCGAATCTTTTTTTCTGAATAACAAGAGGATGATTAGGCTTGGAATGAAGCAACACTGGACCAAAGGTAATAAATGTTCCTAAAGACTTTCCCTGGGTTCATTAATTAGAGTAAAATAAGTGGTGTTTTTGTCCCCAAAGACGTTTGGCTTTAAAATGAGATATGTATAAAATGAAACCGTAGCACATATAAAGCCTTATTAACTCCCATTCATTTAAATTGGTGTCTGTGTTTGGTCTGATGGATGAGAAGATTACACTTTGCATCAATCCTAACACCAAACATTGACCCATTATGAAAAAATAAGTAGACCGCACAGTTACAAGCTTTTACTTGTTCCAAACCTGGGGTGGTTCCACAGGGAGACAGCAGCTCAGATGTATGCAATTAAAATCAGTCTTCCTGAAAATGTGAGACAGGCTTCTTCTCTCACAGTGTTCAAATCTAGGTTCAAAGCTGTTTATACAACTGAGCGATTCTATATTTACTCTTATTTGAAGTATTGTGAATATTCATTATTTAAATACCTTGTATTAGTTGTATCTGGTTTTGTTAAGCACTTTGAGTTGCCTTGTGAAGGAACACAGATAAACTTGCCTTACTTGCCATAATATGTGTAAAGCAGAGTGAATTTTCAAGATAGCCTTTATAATTGTTCGACTTTTTGGCAAGGAAACATGATTTCAAGCAGTTTTGTCTGTCTACATTACTTCTGTAAAGATGAAGTTCTATTTGTTCTTACCAAGCGATTATGAAAAAAAAAACACCAGAAGAAAAAGACAAAATAATCAGACTGAAAATAGTGCTGCGTGTACACTTCCAAACTTCCTTTTCCTTTGTAACTGTGCCACCAAGTTCCCTCTGGACTTATGCAAAGCTGCTGTCAACACACTTCTCATTGTTCTTCAATAAACTTCACAAAAATAAAACCAAAACGTGACATATCAAGTTGAGGGTCATTCTTTAATTTTTCTTGTGTCACATTTAGCTGTGATAATGAATCCCAGGTGCTGTTTCACCGCAGTGATGGGGTCAGATGTTGCGTAACAAGAAAAAGCCTGCTCCTGACGCTGTTTTTATGCAGTCAAGCAGTAAATCAGGAAAGACATGCTTAATATTTAAGTTGGCACTATCCACATTACAGCATATGTGGCCCACCAACCTCCCCTCTATCTCCTATAGAAGTTCTTTCTTCAATGATAACCAGTATAACTATAAAAAGTACAAGTTTTAGTAATGTCAGACTTGTTTAAAGGCGGCACGGTGGCTGAGTGGATAGCACTCTCGCCTCTCAGCAAGAAGGTCCTGGGTTCGAATCCCGGTCGGACCAGGGCCTTTCTGAGTGGAGTTTGCATGTTCTCCCCGTGTTTGCGTAGGTTTCCTCCGGGTACTCCGGTTTCCCCTACCACTAAAAATATGTCCAATAGTTCTAGCATGCGCCTCCTGTACTGGCGACCGCGCTCCCATCTCTGTGTGGAGTGAGAGACAAATGCCCAAAAATTAACAATTGTAAACCGCTTTGAGACTCAGATCTGCAGTGAAAAGGCGGTATATAAATAAATACTTACTACTTACTTACTTACTTTAATTAACATTTATAGTGCTGTACTGCACAATAAATGTTAAACGAGTCTGACATTACTAAGAGTCTGCTGCACAAGAAAATAAATACCCAACTTGTCTTCTTGGGTGCAGCCAATTAGCCTAAGC